GCAATTTGATCTGAGAAAATGTTTTCTTGTATTTAATTGTTTTAAATTTTATGGTGACTTGCTTTGTGGTCTAAGCTTTGGTGTAGTGTAGTGTTCGGCGGCATTTTCTATATAAACCTATCAAGCCTGTTTGGTTGATTGTATTATTAAATCGCCTGTTATCTTTGTTGAGTTTCTGTCTAGTTCTGTCCTTCAAAAGCAGTGTATTAAAGTCTATTAGGAACCCCGGTGGTGTAGCCCACATGGTTGGGAGTTCAAAATCCCCAGCAGCTCTTTGAAAGACTGGGCTTTCTATTCTCCCAAACAGTTACAGTCTCAGAATTCCACCAGGGGTCGCTATGAGTCAGTATTGACTCAATGGCAGTGAGTTTGGTTTGGTTAATTGACATTCCACCCTTTCAACAGGTGGCATATGTGCAATGTGCTGAAGGAAGAAGTTCAAGCTGCACTGAAAGCATTTGGCACAAACAGGGCTCCAGGACTTGATGGAATACCGATCAAATTATTTCAATGAGCACATGAAACAATGACAGCACTTATTCATCTTTGCCAGGAAATTTGGAGGATATCTACTTGGCTAACTGACTGGAAGACATCCATATTTGTACCCTTGTCAAAGAAAGGTGACCCAAAAGAATGCTCAAATTATAGAACAGTATCATTGATATCAGATGCAATTAAAATGTATCTGAAGAGCATCCAACAAGGGTTGCAGCAATACACTGATGCCAAGTTCCCAGAAGTTCAGGCAAAATTCAGAAAAGGAGTTGGAGCAAATGATATCATTGCTGATGTCTGGCGGATCTTGGATCAAAGCAGAGAATACCAGAAAAAAAATGCTTACTTGTGTATTATTGACTGTGCCAAAATATTTGACTGGTGGATCATAACAAACTATGGATATCCTTGAGAAGGATGAGCATTCCTGAAAACTTCACTGTGCTCACGTGGAACTTGTACATGGATCAAAGGAACACTGCCTGGTTTGAAGTCACTAAAAGTACGTGTCACAGTTGGATCCTCTCATCATGCTTAATTAATCTGTATGTTGAGCCAATCATCAGAAGAGCTAGATTATATGAAGAAGAATATGGCATCAGGATTGGAGGAAGGCTTATTAACAACCTGAGATATGCACATGACACAGCCCTGCTTGCTGAAAGTGAGGAGGACTTGAAGCAATTGCTGGTTGAGATCAAGGGTGTAGCCTTCAGTATGGATTACAATTCAATGTGAAGAAGACCAAAATCCTCACAACTGGACCAGTAGGTAACATCATGATCAATGGAGACAAGAATGAAGTTGGCAAGATTTCATCTTGCTTGGATCCACAATCAGTGCTCATGGAGCAATCAAGAGATTGAAAGGTGTGTGGTATTAGGTAAATCTGCTGCAAAGACCACAGTAGAGTATTGAAAACCAAGGATGTTACTTTGAGGAGTAGGGCGTGTCTGGCCCAAGCCATGATATTTTCAATGTCTAGTATGTATGTGAACATTGGACAAAATGGTCTGTCTTGGAAGAAGTACAGCCAG